TTATTCTAGACACTGTGCGGTAAGTACCCGTACCTTGTTCTAGACACTGCGGTGAGTACCCGTACCTTATTCTAGACACTGCGGTGAGTACCCGTACCTTGTTCTAGACACTGCGGTTAGTACCCGTACCTTATTCTAGACACTGCGGTGAGTACCCGTACCTTATTCTAGACACTGTGCGGTAAGTACCCGTACCTTATTCTAGACACTGCGGTGAGTACCCGCACCTTATTCTAGACACTGCGGTGAGTACCCGCACCTTGTTCTAGACACTGCGGTGAGTACCCGTACCTTATTCTAGACACTGTGGTGAGTACCCGTACCTTGTTCTAGACACTGTGGTGAGTACCCGTACCTTATTCTAGACACTGTGCGGTGAGTACCCGTACCTTATTCCAGACACTGTGGTGAGTACCCGCACCTCATTCTAGACACTGCGGTGAGTACCCGCACCTTGTTCTAGACACTGTGGTGAGTACCCGTACCTTATTCTAGACACTGTGGTGAGTACCCGTACCTTGTTCTAGACACTGTGGTGAGTACCCGTACCTTATTCTAGACACTGCGGTGAGTACCCGCACCTTATTCTAGACACTGCGGTGAGTACCCGTACCTTGTTCTAGACAATGCGGTGAGTACCCGTACCTTGTTCTAGACACTGTGGTGAGTACCCGTACCTTATTCTAGACACTGCGGTGAGTACCCGCACCTTGTTCTAGACACTGTGGTGAGTACCCGCACCTTATTCTAGACACTGTGGTGAGTACCCGTACCTTGTTCTAGACACTGTGGTGAGTACCCGTACCTTATTCTAGACACTGTGGTGAGTACCCGTACCTTGTTCTAGACACTGTGGTGAGTACCCGTACCTTGTTCTAGACACTGTGCGGTGAGTACCCGTACCTTATTCTAGACACTGTGGTGAGTACCCGTACCTTATTCTAGACACTGTGGTGAGTACCCGTACCTTATTCTAGACACTGTGGTGAGTACCCGTACCTTATTCTAGACACTGTGGTGAGTACCCGTACCTTATTCTAGACACTGTGGTGAGTACCCGTACCTTATTCTAGACACTGCGGTGAGTACCCGTACCTTGTTCTAGACACTGTGCGGTGAGTACCCGTACCTTGTTCTAGACACTGTGCGGTGAGTACCCGTACCTTGTTCTAGACACTGTGGTGAGCACCCGCACCTTGTTCTAGACACTGTGCGGTGAGTACCCGTACCTTGTTCTAGACACTGTGCGGTGAGTACCCGTACCTTGTTCTAGACACTGTGCGGTGAGTACCCGTACCTTGTTCTAGACACTGTGGTGAGCACCCGCACCTTATTCTAGACACTGTGGTGAGCACCCGCACCTTATTCTAGACACTGTGCGGTAAGTACCCGTACCTTGTTCTAGACACTGTGCGGTAAGTACCCGTACCTTGTTCTAGACACTGTGGTGAGTACCCGCACCTTATTCTGGACACTGTGGTGAGCACCCGCACCTTACTCTAGACACTGTGGTGAGTACCCGCATCTTGTTCTAGACACTGTGGTGAGTACCCGCACCTTATTCTAGACACTGTGGTGAGTACCCGTACCTTATTCTAGACACTGCGGTGAGTACCCGTACCTTGTTCTAGACACTGTGGTGAGTACCCGTACCTTGTTCTAGACACTGTAGTGAGTACCCGTACCTTATTCTAGACACTGCGGTGAGTACCCGTACCTTATTCTAGACACTGTGGTGAGTACCCGCACATAGTTTTATACATTGGTGAGTACCGGTACATAGTTTTATACACTGGTGAGTACCGGTACATAGTTTTATACACTGGTGAGTACCCGCACATAGTTTTATACACTGGTGAGTACTCGCACATAGTTTTATACACTGGTGAGTACCCGCACATAGTTTTATACACTGGTGAGTACCGGTACATAGTTTTATACACTGGTGAGTACCCGCACATAGTTTTATACACTGGTGAGTACCGGTACATGGTTTTATACACTGGTGAGTACCGGTACATAGTTTTATACACTGGTGAGTACCGGTACATAGTTTTATACACTGTTGAGTACCGGTACATAGTTTTATACACTGGTGAGTACCGGTACATAGTTTTATACACTGGTGAGTACCGGCACATAGTTTTATACACTGGTGAGTACCGGTACATAATTTTATACACTGGTGAGTACCGGCACATAGTTTTATACACTGGTGAGTACCGGTACATAGTTTTATACACTGGTGAGTACCGGTACATAGTTTTATACACTGGTGAGTACCCGCACCTTGTTCTAGATACTGTGGTGAGTACCGGTACATAGTTTTATTCACTGGTGAGTACCCGTACCTTGTTCTATACACTGTGGTGAGTACCCGTACCTTGTTCTAGACACTGTGGTGAGTACCGGTACACAGTTTTATACACTGGTGAGTACCGGCACTCGTTTTTCCTCTCAAGAACAAATAAAAAAAAAAATAAAGCCCAGACTATGACATGTCGTAAGAGTCGACTAACTGTGGGCTTTCTTTGAGTCGGAGTGCATTTGCCTGCAAGGCAAGGAACTAACAGTTGGCATACAAATAATTGAGATCTGTAAAATGGATATGCAAACAACACACAGGTTCTGGGATAAGACTAAAGTACAGAGGTGGACGAACAATCAGAATTGTCAGCCAGAGTTTACAGCCGCTAAACGCGAGGAAGAAGAAGATACAAATAATAATAATAAGATATATTATTATTACACAAAGCCTATCGAGTCATCCTCGTCCCAGAAAATTATAAGGGAACCCCACTACTTCTCAACATTGTTTGTTTGTTTTTTACTGGCGACGCCCCTGACAGACAAACCTGACAGCCCCATGAAAGTCTCCCCCCCCCCCCCCCCCACGCAAAGCAAAAGTGAAAAGGCTGCTCTAAAATACAACACTCTAAGCATTAATATTACGAAGCGTGTTATTAGTTTCTTCAGCTTCCACAAAAAGGTGTTTCAGTGAATATATTTTTACGATGGCAGACAGTTCTGTTTGACAAAAACAAACAAAAACATTGGGTAGGATACAAGGTGAGCATTGTTACAGTGTGGGTCGGCTCGTTCTATAGCTGCTGTTTTAACTTGATGAACTGTGCATAGAGAATAGAGGCTGGCAGCCAGTAAGACAGACAGACAGGCAAGCAGACAGACATATGTACAGACATTCAGGCTTGCGTAAACCGGGGGCCAGACATAAAGACAAATATTCAGGCAGATATTCGTCCGTTGTTCTCCTCCCCGCAGCTACGTGAAGCTTCGAAAACCCTGGAGGCTTGAAGAGTCTTCTCCTGTATGGCAGACCCCAAAGGGCAAATCGCAGATAATCCGTTTTATCTTCGAACACGGAGAACCGGTAACCGGTACAAGCCTGCTGTATGTAACATGAAGACCTCTCCGGATTGGAAGGATAATTCTCAACCTCGTGTACTAACAGCTTTTTTTTTTTTAATCTGGTCAGCTCCAGATTTGTAATGTTCAATATAAAACATTTTACTGCTTCTATCGAGAATAATAATTCTACTACTACTACTAATAATAATAATAATAATAATAATAATAATAATAATAATAATAATAATAAATATAATTATTATTAGTATTCTGCTGCTGCTTCTCCTTCTTTTTCTTCTTCTTCTTTTTCTCCTAATTCCTCTTCCTCTTCTTCTCCTAATTCCTCTTCCTCTTCTTCTTCTTCTTCTTCTTCCTCTTCTTCTTCTTCTTCATCGCCGCCTGTAAACTCCGGTGGAAAATCCTGGTTGTTCGTCCATTTCTGGACTTAGGTCTTGTTCCAGGACCTGAGATTTACGTGCACATCCGTTTTACTTATGCGCAAACTGTCGGTTTCTTGCCTCTCAGGCAGATGCACCCCGACTTCGAAGGAAACATTGATCCTATCTACATTAGCCGGGCTTCTGGTTGGGAAGTTTAAAAATGCCGGCAGAGAAGTGTAGGCAGGTGTTGACCAGTGTGTGCCCCGATCCTTGTCTATCACCAGGTGTGCTTCAGCATTTCTACATCACCACTGAGAACTGATCGACGATGTTTTAGGTCTATCATTATATTTCATATCTTGTTGAATCAATCAATCAATCAATCAATCAATCAATTAATCAATCAATCAATCAGGAAGTGACATCGCCGCACTCAGGACATTCCCACACGTGCTCCGTCTCCTACCTCCGTAGCCAACAAAGAGTCAATATGCTAATGTAGTAGCAGCTGCAACCTGATTGCCAGTTTGCCTATGTTTCCTCCTCAACTTTAAATATCGTATGATTTATCTTAAAGTTGCTCAAAGCACTGAGAAGTGGCAGTAGCCAGTCTATCAGCCTGCTCATTACCCCGGACACCTGAATCTCCTGGATAGAAAATCCACGATATGCTCGTAGTGTGAATCTAATCAAGTGATGCAAGCCACTCTAGGCTTTCAATGTTCCGAAGTGTGATCTCTGAGTCTGATATAGTGACAGGCTGTGCTTAATATCTCGTCGGTTGGGGGAAGAGGGGGGGGGGAGGAAGCAACGGATCATCTCACCACAGCCTGCCAATGAACTAGAGGATACAAAAGTCTAACACCGCCTAGCATTACCAGCAGACTCTGCCAAGGGCGGTTGGCACGCTGTATTGTGGTTTACAGCTAGGCTACGAAATGTGTGCACTCTGGCCGAACACATAGGATTTCTCCAAACCCCAAATTAATAACGTTTAACAACATGCTTATTGGGAAGGGGGTGTGGTAGTGGGTCGATGCTTGTCCTCCAATACACTGGCAACCAGAACCCAGACAGAGAGAGAGAGAGAGAGAGAGAGAGAGAGAGAGAGAGAAAGAGAGAGAGAGAGAGAAAGAGAGAGACAGACAGAGAGACAGACAGAGAGACACAGAGAGAGAGACAGACAGACAGACAGACAGACAGACAGACAGAGTCAACCAACAACACAAACAATAAGTAAACAACTCTGACCTGCTCTCTGCCGGACATGCCATAGGAAGCTAAATGATAGACGACACTGGCCCCACGGACGATGCTGGACACAAACTCCAAGTCTGTGATGTTGCCCTGAAAATAAGAGACACCAAGGTTGAGTCAGAGCTGCTCACTTCAGCAACGTATGTCTGGGAAATAGCGTTTGCCAATATAGTTACATGTGTGGGAAGTGGCGTTTGCCAATATAGTTACATGTGTGGGAAATGGTGTTTGCCAATATAGTCACATGTGTTGGAAGTGGTGTTTGCCAATATAGTCACATGTGTTGGAAGTGGTGTTTGCCAATATAGTCATATGTGTGGGAAGTGGTGTGTCCCAATATAGTCACATGTGTTGGAAGTGGTGTTTGCCAATATAGTCACATGTGTGGGAAGTGGTGTTTGCCAATATAGTCACATGTGTGGGAAGTGGTGTTTGCCAATAAAGTCATATGTGTTGGAAATGGCGTTTGCCAATATAGTCACATGTGTTGGAAGGGGTGTTTGTCAATATAGTCACATGTGTTGGAAATGGCGTTTGCCAATGTAGGCACATGTGTGGAAAGTGGTGTTTGCGAATATAGTCACATGTGTTGGAAGTGGTGTTTGCTAAAATAGTCACATGTGTGGGAAGTGGTGCTTGCCAATATAGTCACATGTGTTGGAAATGGCGTTTGCCAATATAGTCACATGTGTTGGAAATGGCGTTTGCCAATATAGTCACATGTGTTGGAAATGGCGTTTGCCAATATAGTCACATGTGTTGGAATTGGTGTTTGCCAATATAGTTACATGTGTGGGAAGAGGTGTTTGCCAATATAGTTACATGTGTGGGAAATGGGGTTGCCAATATAGTTACATGTGTGGGAAGTGGTGTTTGCCAATATAGTTACATGTGTGGGAAATGGGGTTGCCAATATAGTCACATGTGTGGGAAGTGGTGTTTGCCAATAAAGTCATATGTGTTGGAAATGGCGTTTGCCAATATAGTCACATGTGTTGGAAGGGGTGTTTGTCAATATAGTCACATGTGTTGGAAATGGCGTTTGCCAATGTAGGCACATGTGTGGAAAGTGGTGTTTGCGAATATAGTCACATGTGTTGGAAGTGGTGTTTGCTAAAATAGTCACATGTGTGGGAAGTGGTGCTTGCCAATATAGTCACATGTGTTGGAAATGGCGTTTGCCAATATAGTCACATGTGTTGGAAATGGCGTTTGCCAATATAGTCACATGTGTTGGAAATGGCGTTTGCCAATATAGTCACATGTGTTGGAATTGGTGTTTGCCAATATAGTTACATGTGTGGGAAGAGGTGTTTGCCAATATAGTTACATGTGTGGGAAATGGGGTTGCCAATATAGTTACATGTGTGGGAAGTGGTGTTTGCCAATATAGTTATACGTGTAGGATCTGCTAATGCAAGCAAAGTGTGTTCAACTGTATATAGGTCCACTGAATATTCTGATAGCTGGAAACAGTAAAACACACAATTGTATTTTGGCAATACAGTAAACAAAAGAGATGGCTTTTTGCCAATATAGCGGCGGAAGCAGTAGTAGTAGTAGTAGTAGTAGTAGTAGTAGTAGTAGTAGTAGTAGTAGTAGTAGTAGTAGTAGTAGTAGTAGTAATAGTAGTAGTAGTAGTAGTAGTAATAGTAGTAGCAATAGTAGTAGTAGTAGTAGTAGTAGTAGTAGTAGTAGTAGTAGTAGTAGTAGTAGTAGTAGTAGTATTAGTAGTAGTAGTAGTAGTAGTAGTACTCTACGCTCAGCGGTGAGTTTACAGGTCGGCAGGTCTGACGCTGCTAAATCCTCAATCAGACGAACAGTATTGCTAATCTGCGTCGGAGCGCTTGGTCTACCCGCCATGTCACTTTCATTGTCTGTAATGTCTCGAAATTGTCAATAGTAGTTATTATCGTCTGCTAGTATCGTCTGCAGAAACGCTCGAAATTGTCAACGGTCGCTTCTATCGTCTACTACTACCGTCTGCAATGTTGCGTCTCTTGAAATTGTCAAGTAATCCTAGTTTTGCCGCGATTTGTTCCTTGGCAGACAGTCCGCATTTTACATATGCCTGAGCCCCGTAAAGATATTTTATGACCGCCATAATATTAGGACGCCGTTCGGAGGAGAGCTGAGTTGCAAAAAGCACTAACTTCGTATTTTCGTCGACGATCCCCAGAGATCTCAGCACCTTAATCTCCATAACAATCGGAAAAGTATTTTAAAAAGCTGGCTGACCCTAAAAATCTATCACAGAATTATGTGGTGCCCGTCCACATAGGTACAGTTGTGAATCCCTCGGTAGGCGGTGGTGAAACTGGGACATGCTGTCGTTATCTAGGAAAACTGAACCTCGATCACTATCTTGTCATGAAATTGCCAAGACAAATTATAACAAAACAATTTCTAAGAGGAAAAAGAAGAGGAGGCGAAGGTAGAGTGTGAGCTGGACGAAGAAGACAGACAGGCAGACAGACAGCGCCATTATGAGAAAAGAAACAGAATGCTAGTACTCCTGTTGTGGCCGACTCACAAAGTGATGACGGCACCTGATGGAGACCCAATCGGAGACACATGACAACCATACACATACAACAAGCAGCATCAACAACAGCCGGAGATCACCAGGCCGTGGTACAACATGCACGTGTCTCTTTGAAGGCAGCGCTGGGTAAACTTCACTACAACAAGGCACATCACGTGCAGCCTCGATCAGCGCTGCAGGCAGGGGTGCCGACAAAAAGAAAACATTAAGGAGCAGAACCTTCATACATTCCCCAAAGGGCCTTAACCAAATTAATAATTATTATTCTTTTTCTTCTTCGCGTTCACCAGCTGTACACTCTGGCGGAAAGTTCTGGTTGCTCGTCCACTACTGAACTGCAGTTCCGCTCCAGAACCTGAGTGTTGCGTGTGCATCAGTTTTACAGATCTCATTCTCTTGAATACAGACTGTTGGTTCCTTGCCTCTCCGGCAGATGCACTGCGACTTCAAAGGAAGCTCCCCAATTAGTCGACTCTTACGACATGCTTTTCGGGAGGCAGTGGGTCTATTCTTGTTTTCCCCACAATGGGGACCCGGAACCCACACGGGGGATAATTATTATTGTTATTATAAGTAACTGCTAACGCCACACAAATATAAATATATATATATATATATATATATATATATATATATATATATATATATATATATATATATATATATATATATATATATATATATATATATAATACGACACATGCAAGGTACATTTGAAGTCTGACTACCTCTGTATGCATTAACAATCTGAAAGACAAAGTACATGACGTCATCAAAATAAAAGGTGCTAACAAATAAAGTAGTTACAATAATTACTGCTATGGTCTACGCTCTTTTGGGGAAGCTGGAAGTACCAATGACATATTTATCATAACAAGTGTTACAAATGTCCACCACGAATTTCAAGACACAACTGTACATCTCTTATCGTGTTACCAAATACCTTCCCCCCCCCCCCCCCCCCCCCAAGTCTTCCGTTGATAACACTATTTTGTTTAACACATGAAAAGAGCACTTCTGGGGGTAGGAATTTTCTAAAGAGACGGGTTTAGTACACCCCTAAACAATATGGGAGGGGGGGGGGCGAGGCCTCAAAATGCCTGAGCCCCTTAGTTTCGGCGTCCCTGGCTAGAGACAAACATGCACTACCAACACACACAAGATGGGGCCGTCCGGAAACAGCATGGCTATCATTGGAAAAACATTTTCAGGACGCGTTTAGAGCTCTAGGGACCTCCTTTACCTCCCCCGCCACAGCAGGATTTGACTTCACTTGTGGCTATGGATATACAAAAATGTACTGATTTGTGGAAACGTATATAGAAACTGCGGTGATGCCGTTCTACAGACACGTGGTTATTTTCTTTTCCTTTGCGTTCTCCTGCTGTAAACCCCAGGAGAAAGTTCTGGTTATTCGTCCACTTGTGGTATTTAGTCTTGTTGAAGAACGTGGGTACTGCATGCACATCTGTTTTATAGATGTTAATTATGTGTATGCAGACTGTTGGTTCCTCAACTCTCAGGAAGACACACACCGATTTCGAATGAAGTGAATAATTAGTCGACTCTTCCAACATATCTGCAAGGGAGGATGTAGGTCTTTTACCCCCCCCCCCCCCTCACAATGGGGCTCCAGAACCCACACGAGGAAGACAAATGATGGAAACACAGGAACACATAAAGGGTGCCTTCCGTGTGGGTTCCGGGGCCCCATTGTGGGGAAAACAAAAATAGACCCACTGCCTCCCAAAAAGCATGTCGTAAGAGTCGACTAATTGGGGAGCTTCCTTTGAAGTCGGAGTGCATCTGCCGGAGAGGCAAGGAACCAACAGTCTGTATTCAAGAGAATGAGATCTGTAAAACTGATGCACACGCAACACTCAGGTTCTGGAGCAGGACTGCAGTTCAGTAGTGGACGAGCAACCAGAACATTCCGCCAGAGTGTACAGCTGGTGAACGCAAAGAAGAAGAAGATTACAGGTGCAAAGAGGATTTCTTTAATTACAGAAATTACCTCTCGAATAAAACTAACCACCCGCATCAGAGGCTGGCAGTCTACATTCTTGGGTCACGTGGTGAAAACTGGCTTAACGATGCAACGATGAGAAAGCTGGAGGAGAGAAGAGGCAAATGTCTGCTTGGTTTGTACTCCGGGCTACTTCATATAACCATCGACGGTCTTAATTCAACACTACTATCGAACATGGCTTATCGTAGGGCTTGTTTGTATATGCAGCATTCTCATCCTTGAGGTTTTGGTCCTGCGGGCTGACATTACTGAAGGAAGGAAGGGGGAAGGGGGGAGGGGGGAGAGGGGGGGAAAATACAACAAAGGAAAGGTAGAGAAAGACCAAGACTGTGACCCAAAAGCAATCCCAGGCCCTGTCAGTTTTTTTTTTTTTTTTCAATTAGTGGGGCTCTAAGACCGACCCAGTTATTCAGTTACCTGTTGGGTTAACCTAGCACATCGGTCTGACACATTCGTGCTCCGTCTTCCAATGCAACAAACTTTTCAGTGTCTCCATGCACACCTGTACCCAGTAGC